GTTCATCTTTGATATTTCTTCTTCAGATCCATTTCAATGACTTGTTGAATTGATTACAAATTGATAAAGAAATTTAGCTCAAAAGTAGCTCAAACACTAATAGTTACCACGTTTTTATCAATCCAATGGAACTAGTTAGTGTAGAGAGATCCAATAGATATCGTAGAGGCAAAACAATACAAAATGATAAAGAACGGAGGTTATTATAGTAGGACAGAACGATAGAGAATAGAGGAAATAAATGAAGGGCTACATAACGCATGGTACTATAGGAATAGCAGGGTGGTAATCGAAAGCCCTCCATGTTTTTTACAAAACATGTTCATCCTATCCCGGGTGTTTCATGACACAAGGCTTTTTAAGACACTGGCATTCATACCTATTTAGGGCATAGTTGGCCGGAAAGGAGAATTATACTAGTACTAAGCCTTCATATTGAATAACTCAACCGCAAGCTCCAACCAAAACAAAGGTATGTCGTCTTGTTTGCAGGAGTTAGCAACTTTGTATTTGGAAACCATATAATCAATGAAACGTAATGCAAAAACACCATAGCTAGCTCCATCATCTTATTGGAGGATATTCTTATTAGGCCTTTCTACCGCTCAAGCGATGGTACATTTTCTGTGGACAATTTGAAGGAAAAATTTTGTCCTAGCTAAGAACATGTAAGAACATTTGAATACATATGCAAACTAATAACACTTTAAAGTAGGCATGCATTCAAAAACAATTCATAAAACCCATGACTTTCAAAGCCTAGTATATGGTGAACCATAAGACTCTTTAACAATATTAAAGAGAATCAGAATTTTAGAGATTCTTTACCCTTGAAGCTCATCCTTGATTGCACAAGGGATTCACCCAAGTGGAGGGCCTTCAAGTCACATCCTTGCTCCTTGGATCTTCCTTGTGATTTCCTCCCTTTTAGTGCTCCTTTTCTTCTTTGAGGATTTGAGGATTTGTTCTCCAAAACACCAAAAGTTTGGTGTCTCTAAGTCTCCACACCAAAGATGTTGTGTGAAGATGAAATGGATGACTTAGGGAAGAAAGATTGCTAGATGTTCCTCCCCTAAGGTGGCCGGCCTCTATGTAGAAAATGAGAGAATAGGTTTCACCCAAATTCAATTAGAAAACCCTAATTTGAAACAAAGCTATAATGTTGATTTTATACTTCATTTCATGTGAGTGGCAAACTTGTAATTAATACAAGTTTGCTATCCCTCACCCTAAGTGGCCGGCCATTTGTTGTTATTGGGCTTAATTGCCCATTTTGTTTTAGTTGTCATACAACTTAAACATAATGGGCCTTGTGGCCCAAAACGTTTTTGTGCCCCGAAGCCCAAAACTAGCTTAAACGCCCAATACGAACGTTTCGTATAATTAATTAACTATTTAATTAATCTTGACCATTCTTCAATTAAACCATTTAATTGCTTATCCATTTCATATAATTTCTTCACTTATATCCTTACTCGGTGTACGATCCATTAGGTTCCAATTAGCGAGGTAGTGGGCGATGTTACTCTTAACGATTGATTGTGAATTGAAACCACATTTCAATTCTCCCTTAAAATTAGTGTTTGCTAATCTTTAGGGCTTCCACAAACCATGGGTGACGCCTAGCAGCATGTCATGGTTACCCAAGCTAAGTAGAAGTGGTTGGAGAACCTATCCAGTTACAACTACAATGCAATACGGTCCTTCTCTAATACAATACTCTTAATCACATTGTTTAAGTGATAGTTTGTTTCATGTCTACTATCCAATGTGATACTTCTCTATATGATTCAATTGAATAAGATTTGGAACATCTTCCTTAGTCATATTCATATGCTTTGGCCAAAGACTCTCGAATCATATCTTAGAGTATTCTCCTTCCATCATGGAAGGTTAAAGATCCCTTGTTGTGCATTCATATGCCTACATGACTAGATAGCTTGACCCCAACAATGCCGTGGACACTCCAATGGAATGCCGTTGACATAATCAAAGATCAAGGACCTAACCATTAGACATCAATGATGCCTCAGGTCAAAGGACTACTTTGCATATTGCAACTATTGAGTTCTCACATGACATGTATGTTCGAACTCTCGTTTGATCGTTGTTCAGTGTACTCGATTACTCTTTTGAGCACCTATGTGTTTGCCTTAGTGTCCAACACCAAATGACTTGAGACTAGTTCATACTCACGCTTGAGTCGACATAACACATACTAACCTTAGCGGATTGTCAATGCCCAATTGGCAATCCTATGGCTAGGAACGTTTTAGGAATGAACATAAGAGAAAGGTCTCGTTAATTTAACTAACTTAAATCACTTGTCTCTTAGATCAAATACATTCCTTGGATTCCCTTGTTACTTAAACACAAAATACTATAAATAGTGATTAACAATAAGCTTTGCCCTCTATTAAACATATAAAAGTTTAATACAATAAGTATTCCAAAAAGCTATTACATCAAATGAGTGGCTTTGTGGGCATACTTCCAACACAATTCCTCAAAGTTACCAGCTACATTTGTCATGTAGTTGTCTAACTCTAACAACTCTTGGTAAACCATGTGAAAGTGGCTCGTACAAGGATTCATGATAAGTGACATTTTGCTTAACAAGGTTGACCTCAACAGCAACCTAATGCTCTTTGGCACATACACTTCCCTCACGTTTGACCATGGCAGCAAATGATGGGGTGGCCAATTTGCCATGATATATTCTTTGATACGCTTCAAATTGTAGGGAAGGTATTCCTTGTCTTTCAGATCACCTTAGCTCACATTTGCCACCTTGGTCATCATTTTGCACAGCGTTGGAAGAGTCGTCAACTTTTTTTTTTCTTGACTTTTGTCCTTGTTCAACAAGATCTCGAAAAAGTTTGAGATTCACTGAATACGGTTCGAGCAAAAGGAGATTCATGTAAGATATATTTTGTGAAGGAAAAACCACATTAACTGCAGAACTGGAGTATCGGTGGCATTTAATATAAGCATGTCGTCGTTCTGTAAACTGTCAAAGTGGGGAGAAAGAGGAGATATATATAGTTGGGGTGTTTGTTTCTTTGAATTTGTTGGAAGTTGGAGAATAAAGGTTGGTGCTGGTGAAGGGTGGATAGGGAAGCAAATGAAAGGAAATATTTCCTCACATTTATTGATTATCGTTGGATGAGTATGACTTTATCTATCTACTGTATAAATTTTGAAACTAATATTAATCTAAGGTCACCAATTTGTTGATGGGCATTACCACCACTTTAGAGTGGTGAGCAAAAATCACTGCACATGAAATATAAAAGACCAAATTGATGAGTTGAAATAACATAACATAACCATTTGTGATAAAAATCCCGTTAGTAAAAATAAACCAAGATAGATTATACAAAAACCAGTTACAAAGCTATAATCCTCAATGCACGGAGTGGCATGACCAGCTAGTTGGTTCTCCTACTATATTTTTTAGGGTGCAAGATTTTGGAAGTAGGGTGGGTATTTGGGTCTTGTATCCACCCTGGGGATAAGATTTTGGATGAAAATGGGGCCTACTGTGTTAGCAAACCCTTGTGAAAAGGGGAACAACAAGGCTTGTGCATTAATTTTACTGACACGAGATAATCCAATGTGGCACAGCACACAGTAGAACGAAAATGTGTATAAGTGATTATGACCGTTGTCATCTATCGGTTGTTGCGCCTCTTGGGTTATTTTTAAAATCTAATTTAATCAAATTTAACAGTAATAAAAAAAATTCAATGTCCAAATTTAAATCCAATGATCAAAATAATATTATTAATTAATTCAAATCAAATTCAACACCAAAATTTTATAAAATACCAATTCATTTTTGTGTAATTCCATAGAAAATTCAATTTTTTACATCAAAAGGTTCGTAAAAATAAAACAAGATAGATGATACAAAAACTAATTCCAAAATTATTAGCAAACAAAAAAAATTAAAGAAATACAAAAGTTAACAAATTAAAAGTTGAGGGTGAGAGGTCCCTTACTTTAGAAGAAAAAACTGGCCAACCTCATACATATGGATGAATAGTTAAAACTATGTGTCACTCAAGTATTACAGTCTGGTGGTATTCCTCTTCATTTGTAAGTAAGAAACCTTACGTTCGAATCTCTGGATGGTGAATTTGATACCAAATTAGGTTGTCCATTGTGTGGCTTCCGAACTCTCCCTCCCTTTAGTGTAAAATTTATTGTTGTACTAAAAAAAATATATGTGGCTAAATTGTTGAGATCGGTTGGAGATAATATAAGTTTCCCGATCCATGGTCGATCAACTTTTTGGCCTTATGCTCTGCTAAAGTCCTTCTTTTGAGGACCTATGAGAACCAATTGTAGATTATATAAATTTAGATTCAAAGGCTTAAAATATTTGACAATTTAATCTTGTGGCTAATATACATTTGGTCATCACAGGTTCTCAAAATAAGAATCTTAAGCCATCTCCAATGGAGAGGGTTTGCATGTCCAGAAGCCAAAAAGCTCATCTTCAATAGATAACTAAGCTATAATTTTATAGAGCCCACAAAACCATTTTTTGGCCAATAGGGCATTAGACTAGCCAAATGTAGCCCCCTAGCGCTTTTTTTTTTTTTTTTTTTTTGCTTAGCTCCTCAGTGACAATAATTGATTCAAATTAACGGTTAAATTTGAAAACATCTAATGGTAGTTTACAAACATCCAACGGTAATTAAATTAACCAATAAATAAAGTATAAATTTAAAAAATTAATAAATGATTGAGGGGACTTTATTTAACCCGTTCAATTAAAAATGATGTATAAGTATAGTATAATACTATTTTATTTAAAATTAATTTTTTACAGAGTTATAATTCGAAACAAAACTATATTTAGCCTTTTTTTCGATTATATATGATCATATGTATCATTAACCTAAGTTGACACATCCAATGCCAAGTCAGCATGGGCCTGTATTTAAATCACAGCCCATTTATCTCTCTCATTGGATTCCCAAAATTCAAGACATCCAGCGGTATCACACCTTTAACCGGCCTTTCTCTATAAATACCTCCCTCTCTCTCTCTCTCTCATCTCTGTGTCTCCCCAAAGCCCTAACCCTAATTTCGTACAATATCTCCGCTCGATTCACGATTCGCAATCGAATTTCTGCGCTCCAATAACCGGTAAGATTTCGTTTCCAAAGTCTCTGTAATGTTGTGTTCATTGCTGCAAGGTTTTGCAGCTTCCAGCTGAAGTTTTAGATGCATTATCGCTTTGGTTTCTGAGAAAAAATTGAGGGAAAGCAATTTGACTTTTCCATGCGTTAGTTTTAGTTGCGATTGAGGGCTTAAAAGTTAGAGTCTTTGGATCCGATTTAGGTATTTTTAGGGTTTTTTACTGAACGAATAATAAACTTGATATTTTATTTTGATTTCTGTTTCTGATTTTTATTACTTTCTTAGTACCCCAAGCAGTATTATTGTTTTATTTTGATCTTCGGTTATAAAATTAACTTTTTTCATGATTGTTTGGGTTTATTATCGCATCTAGGGTTTATTGTCATGCTTTTTCTGTCGATTTAGATGTGTGAACTTATTTTTTGGTTTTCTGCAGATGGCGACAAAACCACTTACAACTGAAGCAATTGCTCTTACAGAGAAGAAGATGGACATGACATTGGGTATGCTTTCGTACTCCCGCTAGTCGATTTAAGATAATTGTGCTTTCTCTTTTTTTCAACCCTTTCGTGTTAACCTGTGGTGATGTTTGATGATGTAGAGGATATCATTAAAATGTCGAAAGTTGCTCCCAAGGGTAAGAACCAGCGGAGAGCTTCGGTAAGTTTCTTTCTCTTACTCTTTCCTATTTAAAAAAAAAAAAAAGAAAATTTATTTCTTAAATATTCTTGTAGAACAAATTGTTGAGTAGTATCAAATTTCTCCATGCAGAATAAATCTCAGAATTTTGCAAAGGTTGCTGCTCAAGATAAACCAACAAAGCTGCGGCGCTTTATGGACTCAAGATCTTCCATTAGACAGGTAAGGATGATATTTCAAAGTTGAATTCTCATAATTTTTTGGATTATGATGTGCAATGTCACTAATGTTTTTGTTTCTTCATTTGATTCTATTATGGTAACCAGGGGGTTCTAGCTCAGAGAAGGTCAAATTTTCAGAGAAACCAATTCCCCATAGCAGCTGAGGCTGCGCGAAGGGCAGCAGTTGCTCCTCCTCGCAATAGAGCTTTTAATCGTAACCGGGTGCCCAACTGGAAACCAAGGTATGCTTGTAATTACCTTCTATCTTTTGAGTATGAAAATTCTTATTGGTTTTTAGTTCTTAAGTCTTGGCGGGTCCCCATAATTTGTACCTAATGTTATTATTTGATTGTGAATATACCACAGGTAAATATTGGTGCTTCTATTATTAGTGATGACCTTCTGCCATTTGCCTCGGATAAAACATTTCAACTCCCATTATTTTGGAACTCCTGCATCTGTTTTGTTGATTCAGCAAGCAGTCATTTTGGGAGTGTGTCAACTTGTTGATTGTTTCTGTAGATGCCATCGACAATAGTATATCTGCATCTGCATTATAAATTCTGTGCTTCTGATCTGCAAAGTTTGCCATATGTTGAGTGGTCCATCTCTTATGATAAAGGGATATTCTTACAACTGGAGAAGTGTGGGGTTAAGTTGAATGTTCAGTAATGGGATCACAAGACTTGGATAGCAATAAGTTTTGCAGGAGAAGGAAAAAATTCAACTCAGTTTGTGTACTTGATGTGTGTAGTATGTAGTGCGGGCATTTGCAACATATTTTAGAGGATGTACTGACTACCGAGGACTACTAACCGTTGTGCATTCTAAGTTGCTCAATGCTTGCTAGGATTAACTTGTTTACATGTTATTCTATGTCAAGTCGGTGTTCTGTAGTTCCCTTTACGGGTCTGGAAGTTGACACACATTCCTTGGTTTTGAATTGAAGTTATCACTTTGTCCAGTTTTTCAGTTCATGCTGAATGTGCTGGCTTTCCTGCAAGCTTGTGAGTCACTAGTCCTTGGGATTTGATAAGTCCAGCTATCCAACCCATCCTTGGTTTTGAATTGAAGTTATCACTCTGTCCAGTTTTTCAGTTCATGCTGAATGTGCTGGCTTTCCTGCAAGCTTGTGAGTCACTAGTCCGTGGGATGTGATAAGTCCAGCTATCCAACCCATTTTCCTTTAATCTCTTCAGTTCTTGGCCTTGCAAATAAGTATTAAAAGATGTTTATGATCCGGGAGGCAATTGTTGAGGGTTCAGTTTCATTGTTGTGAGACATAGGGGATTCAGGAGGCTTCTGATTGATGGAAACTTTCACTGTTTCTAGTTTATGCTGACTTATACTTCACTGCACTCTTTGTTTCCTCTGGTTTCTTGACGTCTAAATGGATTATTGAGTCTCTTCTACTTTAACGTGCCATGGGCTGGAATTAAAATGGATAGTTGGGGAACCAAGCATCACTTCCAGATTACAAATGAAAAACTAAGCAAAAGTTGTGTTTGAGGTTTTTTCTGTATAGAAGTTTTGTTGCTTTGGTTGGAAGCTGTGTTGGTCCTGTAGCATGCTTTGTGGTATACAAGTGGTTCAAGAATCCATAACTTGTCTCGAGTAGGGCTTCCATTCACGACGTGTTTTCCTGCTTAAGCGGGGATGGGAAGTTCCTTTGGGAAGACATTTTGTTTATTTGACTGAATGGACTGTTCATTTAAATGATTGGAAGACGGAACCCTCTGTTGTGATTTCACCTATTCTGCTCCATGTAAAGGTCTTTTCTTGAGTGTTTCTGTGGATAATATGTTTTCTTGGTGAGGCTCGAATACAGATTATGGTTTGGTTAGAGAGACCTTCTGCAGATTAAGATGGAGTCACACTGCTGAGAAAACATCATATTTTCCTACGACTGTTTTGTCGTCAAATGGTTTGTCTTGTTAATTGGATTAATTTAGAATTACGATGGTAAGGCACTTTAACCTCTCATCCAGGCGAATGCATATCTACTCGTGATCCTTTTGCAATTACATGGTGTTGGTATAGGCATAGTAATAGCTATCCTCTCTGTTGTCAAAGTTTTCTTTCTGAAGGCACATGGTATTTAATTCCTCAAGCATTTTTTTTCCATTTCTGGATGCAGGGCTGGTGCACCATTTGATCAAAGAAGGGTTGCAAATGTTGGCTTTGGTAGCAAGGTATTATTATTCTTCATTTTGACCTCTGTTATTCTTTCCCATTTGACATGCGTGAGTATTAGTGGGTTTTATAGTAAACGATTGGCTTTCCTTTGTCAAGTGTCTTTCCATCAATGCGGTTGGAGTCATGGCTTCGGGATTCTTTGGTGTATAAGTTCATAGTGTACAGTTCAGTTACTACTGTGGCTTTAGGATTCTTTGGTGCATACACACTATTCTGTTTATTTAGAACTGTGCTTTGGGATTCTTTGGCGTAAGAACACAAGTAGTGTGCAGTACGGTTAAACTGTAGAGTCCCGTACGTGTATGGCATTGGTTGATAGTTGATCATCCGCTAGAAATGGCTTTTAACTTGTATTATTAGTGGTGGTCTGCGTCAGAACTGCTACGTGAAATCATGTTTAATGTCCCGTCTTATTAAGTCTCTATTTTTTGTCAGCTACCACTGCCGCAGCAGCAGCAGCATCAGCACCCTCGGCAGCAAGAGAATGCACTTCCTAAGCAGAGGCCTCAAACACTCGATTTGCTGTTTGCAAACATGAAGGAGCAGAGGATGAAAGCGCAACCACGCCAGAACAATGGCGTACCGCGCACCAATAGGGGTGGCCAGCAGAGGCCCCCTTGGGGAAGAGGCGGACGGTTTGGCAACTAATTCATCATACACAAAAAAAAATGCCCTGCTGGAGAGGTACTATTCTTGGTGAAAGAAAGAAGGCAAGTGCTGGAATTGATGTCTACATCTGGATGCGAGTGTGTAGATGATATGCAGAATGTACTGACCGACTTTTGTCACCTTCATTTTTTCTGTTTTTACGCGACTTTGCAGTACTCAGGGTTTTCTTTTCGTTTCATTTGCCATCAAAAATGTGTGTATAGTAGTGATCTCGTCTGTTGTGAACTAGCAATCCATGCTTTCAAATATATCATTGTTTCTAGATATCGTCAGGTATTTTTACGATTTCTGACCGGATCATTTATAATTGTTTGTTCGATTTCTGATCAAATCAAATTCTTTACTGGTATATGATTTCATCATTTGCCAGTTAAATAATAGCGTAAATTGTAGCAATGATTCCTCAACTTTAATTAAATTGGAGCAATGGTCCGTTACCTAAAAATCCATTATCATTGGTTTCTCAATTCATCAAAATACGTAGCTATGGTTATTTTCGTCAGAATTTTGTTAAAATGAGTTATGTTGGAAGGACTATTGATACAATTGGGGTTTCTCAACTCATCAAAATGTGTAGTTATGGTTAACTTTGTTAGAATTTTGTCAAAATGAGTTATGTTAGAATGATCATTGTTACAATTGGGTTAAAGTTGAGAGATCATTGCTCCAATTGGATTAAAATTAAAGGACCATTTCTCCAATTAGATTAAAGTTAAGGGACCAATAGTAATAGATTTTTAGTCGAGGAACCATAACTGTACGTTTTGATGAGTTGAGGAACCAATGGTAATGAATTTTTAGTTGAAGGATTATTGTTCTGATTAAGTTAAAATTAATAAACCATTACTACAATTTACCCTAAATAATATTGGTTTACAGTGCTCGATCTACCGTCATCGTTCATCCATCCAAAGTCCAAACGCGTATTTAGGGAGACACTAATGAAAAACTACATATTTCTGAGCTTAAGAACTCAACTCATTTGTTTACAATGTAAATATATGATAAGACAATGTTGAAACATTGTTTCAAGCTGTGTTGTCGCTCGGTAGTGTTGAGTGGAAGAGTAATTCAATTAACATGCGACTTAACTCAAAATTATCATTAACTTTGGGACTAAGTACATTCAATCAACATGCAACTTAACTCAAATTATCATTAACTTTGGGACTAAGTACCATCATTTAAGTTTTTTTTACTCAACGCTGTCACGTGATAGAAACAACCCAACACAAGTTTTTTCAGTATACACACAAGTTTTCTTGGTATAAGAAGAGTTACGTATTGGTTTCTCAGCATTGCGAGAAGACAACCACTAGCCTCAAAGCTTAAATCATCGGGGGAAGATGCTAACAATGTATTTTAAGCTTACACATTCTCTCATGTATCATGTTACGCATTAAAATGCCAATGAATAAGAATAAAGACACATGTAAAATTCTTAATCAATTAAGTTACAAACTGCTTACTCGGATAATTTTCTTTAAACGGTGGCCCTAGTCTTCCAATGGTTGAATATTTCCTCATGCTACGTTACCAAAACTTCCATCCATGTCGCTCGTCTTGTCCCAACTCCTAACTTGTAATAACCACCTCTCGTTCCTCATCTTTTATCACCACAAACCCCCTTCGCCCATACATACACAGAGAGATTAGAGATAGATAGAGACCCCCACCATTAGAGACTATACCTCTGTTCTCCACGCTTAATGCTTCGAACCCATCTGACATATGACTCTAATAAACCTCAGCTCCCTCTCCCCATGGCTCTCCCGCCTCTCTCACCACCCTTCTCCGCCCCTTCCCATCTTTCCCACCACCACTTTTTTGTTCAGAAATATTCAATCCACTTCCATCAACTTCTCAAAGCTCCTCAGAGTAAAAGCCTCATTGGGGGAGACCCAAAACGGTAGTGGGTTGGCAGAGGACTCTGTTTCCGAGTTGTTAGATGACGAGTTGCTTAGTGGAGTTTCCGGTGCTAAAGATGCCCAGGAAGCACTCCAGGTGATCGCTGAAATGTCTGACAGAAATGGTGGTTTAGTGAGTGTATCTGATTGTTGTGCTATTATATCGGCCGCCCTTAAGCGGAACAACTCCGACTTGGCTCTCTCTGTTTTCTATGAAATGCGTGCGAGTTTTGATCAAGGTATTGTTCTAGGATGAGTTGTTTTGTATGATAATCCAGCATTTGAACTCAAAAGATTTCAACTTTGGATGTAGAAAGAAATGGGCTTGGCCATTAGTGTTCATCAATGCAAAGTTTTCCTAGCTATTGCACACATATGTATGTACAATAGCACTCGAGCGCTAACCGATTGGTAACTTAATACAGCACTAACCGCTTATTTTGGGTTAGCCCGACAGAGTTTAATCTCATGATTCGAACCCTTCTTATTTTAGGGTCTCATTCAAAAATCGTCCTTGCAAAATTTCACTAAAACGTTTACCCTTATGATTGATTATTGCTATGACCATTTCATTGATTATCGACACCGTGCCCGTATATTTATCTGTTTGTAGTTAGATAACTGAATGGTTTTTTATTTGAATAAGCTTTTAAGGGATGATCTTTGAATGATGAAGTAAACAATGATCGGTTCAGGTCATGGAAAACGTAGTGGATAGGGTCCAGATGAGTGGTTAACACCAAATTATTAACTTACTAACTCGTTAGGCTATAGTGTTTTTTGTACTTTACTTGGTGGGGAAGTTATCTTGGGGCATTGATTTTATTGCTCACTTGCTTTTGGGCAGGTGTTAATGAAAATGGCCCTCTTGTTGAGAGGTGGAAATGGTCCAGACCAGATGTGCGTGTTTACACATCGTTGATTCTGGGTCTAGCTGCATCACTTAGGGTTTCTGATGCCCTTAGGATGATCAACAATGTTTGCCGAGTTGGAGTATCTCCTGCTGAGGAGGTAAAAGCAATTCTTGTTTTGCTTCTGTCTTTCAGCATTTGGATTTGCCCCAAGCAATTATACTTGTAACTTTTAAGGAAACTAGAATTTTTTAATGTATTGAGCTTAAACTTTGGACTCGTAAAATTGGTAGTCAGGAAACATTGTATGCACCTTTTTCTCTTGTTTTCTTTATTCAGATTTTCTTGGCCACATGAAGACCATCCGACTTGTTTTGATGTTTGCAGGTCCCATTTGGGAAGGTTGTTAGGTGTCCTAGCTGTATGATAGCTGTTGCTGTTGCACAGCCACAACATGGTATTCAGGTATGCTTGACGAAAATCTTTGAACCCAACTTCTGACAAATAATACCTTAGACGGGATTCTTTGTTCAAACTTCTGCTACTCATGCCACAGTTATTGTGCAGGTAGCGTCGTGTGCAAAGTGCTGCTACCAGTATGAACTTATTTCTGGCAACATAACTAGTATTGAGTCGGAAGAAATCAGGTTGGAATTCGTATCTGCTTTAAATTTAGCAATATCTATAGTCTATCTATGCTTGTGAACATAGCCAAAAGCATTTGTATTAACTAGTGTTATTCATTTTGAATATACATCAAACTTATCCCATGTTAATTCTATGTCAATCACACAGCTAATATGTGTGTGGTGTTGATCCTGGGATATTGAATTTTTCTAAGGATCTCCTCGTGACGAACGCAGCATGGATGTTCCGGCTTGGAAAAGGGGACTAAGATTCCTGAACATAATGAAGCAAAGTATTCCTGCGGCTGTCCACTCCATTGTGGTATACTATACTCATTCTGAATTTTCAATTTCCGATTTTAGATGCATGGCATTCCTGGACCATGTTGGATTATTGTTGATCATCATTTTCCCTCTCTTGTTTCAGGTACAAACCCCTTCTGGTATGGCACGTACAAACAGGTTTGCTACTGAAACAGTTGATCTCCCAGCACAGGAAGGGGAAAGGGTAACGATTGCTCTAGCTGCTCCATCAAGTGTATACAGAGAGGTCGGTCCCTTAAAATTTAGTCCTAAGGCCCCAAATTTTTACCCTGGGGAGCCTATCTACTTGACAAACCATGAAGATGACCGGGAGTCAAAACTATTAAGAGCCCCTATAAAGGATGGAGGATCGTTGCTAACTAACCCCTCCATCCTTTTTCCAATTGTTGCGGTTGTGGCCTCTGGAAATGCCGCCTCCGGAGTTATAGACCCCACCTTCCCCCAATTCCTTCCAGTTGCTGCAGTAGCGTCTCTTGCTGTTGGAGTTACTCTGAACAAATTTGTTGTCCCCCAATTAAATCGTGTAAGCAGTAAGCCAGTTTTTTCTTCTATAATAACTGTAATTGGTGATTCCCGAATCGCATCCTCACTGTTTTGAAAAGGAAAGGAAAAAAAATTTTGCTCTTGCGATTTCAGGTTCCTCGCGACTAGTATTTGTTGCCTTCATTGAGGATCTAACTTTTAAATTCCTAAGTTATTCTAGATGTTTTTGGGTGATGCAAGTAGTTTTGTTTGCTCAATCTATATATTTTAGTTTGAACTGAGAAATGGATGTTGTTCTTATACTTGATTGATTTGTCAGCTTCCTCGGAGAATAGTGGATACAGTTGCCATCAAGCAGCAACTTTTATCGCAATATGACACACTCCAATCTCGTATAAAGGGCCTAAAAGAATCTGCTGAAAAAGAGGTAAGCTCCATGCTAGTTGTGGGTCTTTAGTAAACTTTTCAAGTGAGTAGCTTTATGATCATAAAAGGTGACCTAGTCTCTACAAATCCGAAGAAATTTTTCAAAATAGTTGCTTACAGAGGTATTCATCAATGACAGAAATTGTCATTCAACGATTTTGTGGCACCAATCACTTTTTGCACTTTTCTTTTTGTTGCATAAGTTAACAGAACGTATTGAAGATATAAGATAGATGATCACTTATTTCCTGTCCAGGTCTGGATGTTGGCTCGGATGTGCCAACTTGAGAACAAAATCGTTGCTGTAGGAGAGCCTTCTTATCGGTATAACTCTTTAAAACTTTTGCTCTTCCTTTAAGTGATGCAGCGAATAGCAAGTTAGCATCGCCTGTGTGTTAGAAATTTTTATCTGATGTACTTCACTAGTCTGATTTTATTTTTTTTAATATCTAGTGCTCGAAGAAGTAAAGTCAAAAGGGTTCGAGAAGGCTTGGAAAATTCTCTCAGGGGACGGATTGAACTTATTGACAGCTATGCAAGGGTATATTTTCTCTTTAGAGTTTAGACACAACTTAGCCACCCCTCTCCCCAAAATATGTTATCAACTAATATAGTGATGCCATCCGCTTATCAGATTTCTTCAATGATCGAAATTGAGGTAGAACTGGACTCCGATGTTCTTGCTGCTGAAGCAGCAAGCAATGTGGTAAGATCAAACTGATTACATAGTTGTTCCTCCCCCTTTACATGCCTTTACACAAGTTAACGAGGCGGTTCTTGTTCACAGGAAAATATTGCTGAACAGATACAGCAAACCATGGAGCTAGAAAATCTTGAAGAGGCATCCCCTTTCACTTGGAATTCTTTCTTTTTTGTAACCTAAAGAACGAATATTGCATTCCTCTGATCCATGTTGTTTGTGTACCGGTTATTTTTCTCTACAGAGATGGAGAATACAAGTTGAAGCAAATGATGAGGCAGAAAGACTTCTTAGTTCCCAACCGATGCCGACAGAACAGGTTTAGGATTTTTCTCCAAAAATGGTAATGTCATATCTCTACTCCAACGTTGTCTCTGGTTGAATTAACGATGTACGATTCTTAACAAGCCCTGCAATTGTCGAAGGGAATCAATATTAAGCATGAATCCGGGAAAGGAGGATGGTCAGTTCATGTAAGTGCTGCTTGTTCATGTCCTGCCGGAGATCGTCTTCGTGACACTCGGTAAATTTCGGTGTTTGTTTTACGAAGGCATTTCGTGTCAAGGGAGAATTAATGCTATTGTTCGTTACAAATTTCAAATTAATCACCACTATGAATAAAGGTTCAGACATTGTTTCAATTTAATTGACATGTTGAAACATTGATCGTTGATCGTTGTTATTAGTTTTCGTCAACTCTGAAAGCAATCATAAAATTCGATTCTTCGTAATAATTTGTTAGGCAACAAATTTACATACAATTAGAGCTGGACAGTACCAAAATCATGTTTACAGTATCCAAAATCAGGTTCTAAAACGCAACCTGCCCTTCTTTATACTAAGTAGGATGACATGAGATTCCAACTAATTTTCATGTGGGAAGGCATCAATGCACAAAACCGAAGGAGATCTGGTTTTGAAACAACTGCAGGGTGCTGGTCGTCCAGCTTCTCATCCAATAACAGCAGGAACTTGGCAATATTCGGAAGAACGAGCTCTCTACAGTGTAGATGTAACAGAGGAACTTTTGACAGAACACTTCCCTTCTGCACATCCAGGCCTGCTGGCCTCCGCAACTTGTATGGTAGCCCAGATGTTGGCTCGATATCAACTTGAGGTATTTGTTTCCATCTCTTGTGCACAAACCACCCGTACTTAAAGTCACCCACAATTGGTGTGCCAAGGGCTTCAGCACAATGGACACGGAGCTGTACAAATGCAGAAGAAATGAAATCAGTGACACCCCAAAATTCAGTATCGGCCAATGTTTACTTTACTTTATACCTGATGCTTCCGACTAGTGAGTGGACGTAACTCAATCCATGAGCATCCATTTATCGTAGGACCAAGTACCCGGTATTGAGTTATAGCCTGTTGGGAAGTTTGGAACCCTGATTGATGAGCCAAGATGACCCTCTCTGTCTTCCCATCGTCAAGAACAACCTGCAAACACATTTTTTCTTTAACACATTAGAAATTAGAAACTATGAAACTGAATTTAAACAGAGATAGAGAACCTTTGTAAGAGGAGCACAGATCAAGCCTTCCTTCTCCTTCGGAGAGCCAATGACCAATGCCCAATAACTCTGATATTTTGCATCGCATGCATCGTTCCATGCCTAAAATTACCCAGAATCATATCAGCCTTAAGAATAAAATTTGTTACCATAATTTAATATCCGATATTAGATGTCACTGCTTGGTATAACAGAGTGCATGGCAATGTGAGGTATGTTACCTTGCACGGCGATTTTCCTTTATTGATGTCAGTGTATAACCATTGCAGAAGAGAAACACTCTCTCTTGTTCTCCCCATTAAGTGGAGGCCACTGCTCTCTGTGTCAAGCCGATGAACCTGATATGAATATGCACACCGAAAACAAGATAATCAACAAGCGCTAAATGTATTGGAGAATGAAATAAGTTCAAAGGAAAACAAGAATCCTACACTGCTCATGCAAACAGTTTAATAATACAACTAGTCATTACGATATGAAGGAACAAATTTGCTTCTTAGTCTTCCCCACAATTTTATTTGAAAGGAGTCACAAAATTAAAATCATACCAACTTAGGACCTTCTTTACAATCATAAGACAACGCTGCCGCTGCCAATGCATCCATGCCATTATGTACAGGCAGATTACCCTAGCAAAACCATTTGACCTTCAGAAATCAAACGGTAACATTAAGCTGGTAAAATAAAACAGTAGAACACTGAACACACGTCGAACGGAACTGTATAGATTCCAACCTTGACTGGCAATTTCGGGGGCTTGTTCAACACGATGATAGCAGAGTCCTGAAAATTCACAAAAAACAACAGTAAGAAACAAAAACGCACTGAAAAAAACAAAATGCCTGCACTTAAAACATCAAACAAACAAAGACTAAGTAGGAATTAAACTCAAAAACATGCCTTGTACTTGACAAGCCTCTGCAAGTATTTAATCTCATCAGCATTCGGGTTTAATGTTCCGCTTGGAATGCAGTCGAATCTCCTCGAAACCCTACTCTCGGCAACCGAAACCGGCACAAACACTCTTGCCCCAACATCTACTACATCACTAGGCCTAATCTATTTGCAAATGAATTGAAACCCGCATCAAAATTCAATCCAACACAAATCCAAAAGCTCAAGCTACTGAAAGATTGCAAATTTACAAGCAAGCATCGTTACCTGTCTCATGGGTTTCATTCGCCCTTCCTTTTCAATCAAATTTGGGCATTCCATCTGAACCTATGAAATTCAAAAGATTAAATAATTACATCTTTTTGAAAATTAAATTTAAAAATAATTACGCTCCAGTAGTTCACTCACAAGGCCTTTGTTGAAGTGGGACTGAATGGCAGAGTCACGAATCTCGTCGAAGTAATACTTAACCCAGCTGACGGCGGTGACGCGCGAAACGGCGCCGTCTTCGTGCGACCTCTTCCCCGGCAAAGGGTGGCCGGGAAAAGGCGGCAAAGACAGGAGTTGCCTCGGCTTCGGGCCTTCCTTCGGCGGGCCCAATCTAGCCACGTGGTTTGACACCCGGATGAGCGGCTCGCCGCCTGTGGGCGGCGGAGGGCATATTCGAGAATATTCCCTCGGGGATACGTGGCGGTAGGGGACGCGGGTGCTCCTCCACATCGTTTTACATGTTGAAGAAATGAGCGAAGGACGACTCTCAGGCGACGACACAGGGACCGGAAGAAGAGAAGAGAATATTTATGGGCCGAAACCTTTGGGCTTGATTGGGCCGGATTTGGGCCTATGAGCTTTGTGAGTTTGGGCTACCGGACTCAATAATTTGGTTTACGACAGGGAATGATTTGTCGTATTTGAGCATATGGGGTGTAAACAGGTGTGACATTTGGCTGAAGTGTGATTAATTATTTTGATGAGGAGCTGTAACGTGCATTTGGCCAGCCACGTTTGTCGTAGTGCACAGTACATATTAGCTTTCAATTATTATTATTAGTATTATTATTATTATTATTATTATTATTATTATTATTATATTTGTTATCTAGTTTTATGTGATGAAGGTCACAAATGTGTGTGAATTGAAATGTCGGAGAAAGGTCTTTGTTACATTTGCGTTGTCGGTTAAACGCGTATGTTACAGTACTTTGAATTTTGCTGCCAAACAATCAACGTGAACAAGTGATTCACATTGATTCAGATCTAGAGGCAGGATCAGGATTCGGATTCAAATTTTGGGGGTTAAAGTGTGGAATGTTTAACTTTTTTAGAAGAAAAATATGTTTTTACTTTGTTCCATGAGTTCGTTGAATATTTGGTGGGCGTGTAGTCGTGAGACGAGTTATGATGCACACAAGTCAACCGATTTTGACTTTTATCGAAGCGATCTATTGACTGTTGTCGAGAGTAACTGTTGACGCAACATGACGAATGCTGCCAATATATGTCTATCAAACATTACATCAAATAATTGGTGAGCATAATAGGAACACATACCAAATATTTGGAAGGTTCCCAAAGATTGTTCACACTTCACAATCGTGTTTCTAGGCCTCCGGGTGATCTAATGACCACCTTGGTTCCTATGTGGACCCGCCCTTTGCTAAGATCCACAATATTATGTTGGCAAATTATTTGACAATAAAATATTATATGCAATCAAATAACATAACAAACGGTATTTACTTTTCACGAAAGCATTTTAGCAAGTAAAGTTTTTTTTATGCAGAGTGATGTTCTCTTGTCAAACTAGTTTGACAAATTGCGAAATTCAACCAAGAATCAAGATAATCAATGCTACTAATTCAACTAAAGAACATTTCATTGATTTGGAATGCTCCATGCTCAGTCTTATTTTAGGCGCATAGAAGAAAATATATGTGGAATTTTTTCACAAACTTTATACGTTAGTAGTTTTTATACTTGATAAATGTTACAAGTGACTTGGGCACACTTTTTTTTTTTTCGTTTATAGTGGCGGATCCAAGATTCGAATTTTGGATAGCCCCAGTTTAAAAGGTCTAAAGTTTTTTAAATAGAAATTAGAGCGAGAAATGCACAATTTTTTTTTCTAGTTTATTCACTAAAGCATTGTTGAACACTTAATAAATGGGTATCAAGATAATTTGTCATGTTGTCCACACAACCTGTTGAGATATATCTTGCAAGTATTACATCAAACACTTAGCAAGTACAAAAGGACCCATAGAAAACATTCGGACCATTCTCGAAGACCTTCACAGGTATGTTTTTTAAACTCCAAATGATCCTGGAACCACCTAGGTTCCAATGTGCATTCGTCTCTGCTCGTTTTTGTATATTATGTTTATCTGTCATTTGATCATCCTTTGTTTTTTCGATCTAACAATTGAAAGTTACCGTAAGTAGCAGAAAAAAGAGTTCAAAAAAAATCATTCTTGAAACAAACAAAGAAAATAAAATAATGTAGAGAATATGGAGTTATTGTGTATGAGAATATGCCAATATGGTAATCACAATTCCACTTGGAGATTCGATTCCTTATTCTCCTTCCTTTTTGTCAATTCTCCCACAATCCACATGGAGATTGATACAATGTGACGTCCTTTATTCTCAAATATGTTTAGAACCTTTGAATTTTGATTAGTTTAGATAATTGAATTGTCATTTAATATTACAGTCTAATGATATTCTTCTTCACTTGTAAGTGAGAGGTGTTCGATTCTTACCAAAGACGAGTTTAAACCACATTATTATTAACTTATTGTGAGGCTAAATTCAACATCTCCCCTTAATGTAGATAATACCATTTGCTCAAAAAAAAATCTTCGAATTTTGATTAGTTTAGGTCCTCGAAATGAAGGAAGTAACTTCCATTCCAAGAATACTTTATAGTAAAATTAAAATGTTTAATTATTTATTTCCTTCTCCTTTTACCCAATTTACGTCACATTGTTTTTTAGTACTAAACTTGCTTCTTACTTCTTTTCTTAAATCTTTGACGTTAAAATAGTTATTAAATGGGTAATGGAAAGAATGATATTCAAATACAAAACCAGATGACTTGCTAAGTTAGGGTATAAATACGACCATCTTTAAGTATGATTTGTTAATTTATCTTGGTGATATAATTTATCAATTAGCATTAGACATGTGTGGTTTACAAATATGTTGATGAATTTTACGGATAATTTATGCCGTTTCAAGTGAAAAAGGATTAAAAATTCACAATTTGAAGTATATAGTTTACATTATAAGCAAATTGAACTACATACCTCTTGACGATC